AGTGTTAGAGTAATTTGAACAGGAGTTCCCGTTCGTTAATAACTGATATATTTTCTGTTTTAGAATGTTACCTATTTTAGTTTATTTTATTTGAATTACCTTAGATAATATTCCGCAATATTATCTACTTCTTTATTTATTTAAATAACTGCCCCATTTAGAGTCGTTCTTTGGTCACGAAATTTCGCTTTTAACTAAATGATTGAAGGAGGTTTTGAAAGATTTTCTTTAATACGGAGTAAAACAAGCTCTTTGTTACAATAGGGTTGAATGTGTATAAAATTTGTGTATGTTTTTATCCGTTACATTAAGCCGAGATCCCGGTGTACGGATGTGCGATAAAAGTTATCAGTTTAGTGGCGTTAAGTGCGCAATTTCTACTTGTTTTCGTGCGGTAATGCGACAATTTGGCCGTCTTTATGACCGAGAGAGCTCCGTAATATGTGGGACTAAGCCGCAACAGACACGTATAGAACAAAACGCTATCTTTCTAGTTTTAATAAAAAGGTCATGGTGCGATTTTGTATTTTATTGCGCCGCTAAAATTTTTTTATTAAACTTTTAGTCGGATTATAAAATAATTTATTAGGGATTTTTTTTTATATGGAAAACAAGCTGGTAGCCGCATGAATTCACCGATATCTTACTAATATTATAAATGCGAAAGATTAGTTTGTGGCCTCGATGAAATTTGACATACTCGTAGATGTAGAGGATAGTCTGGACGAACATATAGGGTACTTTATGTTTTTATTAATTTTACACAGACGAAATCGTGGGAAGCTAGTTGTTTATAAACGTAGTGAAATATTTGCGCTACATTTTACAGATTGTAGAATTGAGATAGTTCGGAATGCGAATGGAATGTAAAGAGCCAACTTGACACAGTTGACGGTACTGTTTGTTCTGCCTGTGTAAACCTAGGACCTGGAAGATGGAATATTTAATTCACTATACTTTTTATAAATATTATTCAATTATTGTATATATTTTATTTTCTTGTAGGTTTTACTTTTGTTATTTTGAAAATGATGGGGCAATATTTGCAAGATTTATTTGTAAATTGTGTTTTTTTTTTGCATAATTATTCTAAACAAGAACAACATTATAGAGCACCTGCTACAGAAAGTTTTTCAACGCTAAGTTAACTGGACTTCCGGAAAGTATCTGAAATTCATAAACATTAAGTTGAACGATCATTTTTCTTTATATATTCGTTTAAGTATGTTCAGAAGTCGAATGTTATAAAATATAAGGGTATTAAGAAGTCTGCAAAGACTACCAAATAGTGATTAACCTCATAGCATTAGGTAGCTTTTCCTAAATGTATATTTGATAGAATGTAAGTATCTTTCACCGAGCTGATTCACCGAATGGAAGCTCTGAACATGAGCTTTGGTCCATTTCCGGTGCACTGAAGCGACACAATGGCAGGTAATTCAGCACACATCCACAGAGAGCTTGGGACGGAACTATCCAGTAAGCTCGATTACAGACAGGAAACTAACGTCTGACAGTCTAGCTGACAGACCCTTGAACTAAGGTTAACGACCTACGTACATATGTGCTGATTTATGTGTTAGGATACTATGAATTTTATATAAGAAATTCATGCAGATTTGATTAGCAGTCAGTGACCGATTTATTATCTTGTAAGTAAGTATTGATTCACTTCGACTTATATACGTAGTCCATAAATATTTAAAAGTACAAGTAAATTCATTCGAAATTGACTTTATTTTATGACCACATTTTGATATCACTTTTAACAGGGACTATTTCTTTATTATTCTGCTGACGTCACTTTACATACAATTTTTGCAATAAAACTTCTTCATGACATCAAATGGAAACTTAATAACTTTTTATAGAGTTTCGGATTACGATTTCACAATCTGCGACTCGATGGGATTAGCGTCGTTTGTTTTTAATAATGTTTCCAATTCCACGAATGTTTTCTCGATAATATTTATTAAATGCGATATCGTTTTAAATGTCGTTCTTTAGATTTTTTTATTTATTATTTGGTTGTTTTGATGTCGACAGTGTAAAGAGAGGTTAAAACTTTGATTTGATATCAATATAATAATGAACTCAGAAATACATGAACTTCTGCTATTAATGTGAAAAACTTAAGTTACTTATCATCAGTAAATTTAAGTTGTAAGTTCTAACTAGTAAAGTAATAACGTACCAATATAATTTTAAACTTTATGTTTAGACAATAGACTTAAAGAACCAACATAGCATGTTATGAAATGACTTGTATATGTCCCAGATTTTTTTTTACATAAGAACACGCAAGTAAAACATAGTTGGTATATAGCAGAAAGTCTAGTTCGAGATTAGATTTGCACGGACGAGCGCAGCGCCGCGGATGGAATATGAATCGAGAGGCAGCGGTAATATTCACTACCGTACGTAACGCGTTTCTATTGAATCCAGGATTTTAAAACAGAGAATAGAATTTTTAAAAGATAAAAAGAAAAAAAATACTTAGCGAAGGAAGAAAGGGATGAGTTAAACTTGAGAGAGCTAAGTGTTTACTTATAACATCAAAGGTTAAAACATTTTCCTTGAAGAATGGGAACAAATTTTAATTGAAATTTAAAATTTTTGTTTTTATATGTCCGGATAGTATTGATAATATCAGAATATACATATAAATTTAGTATTGTACCGTCATATCGAATACATAAACTACGTGAATACTGTAGAGGCTTCGTAGAGGGTACGCTACGTCGTAGACTCCCATACTCAATAGACCGTCGCAAATAAGGAAGCAAGTTTCCGGGACTATATGATGTTTCTATTTCCTCTGATTTTGCAGGCACATGTAAGCTTTAAATAGAATTGTAAAAATTCAAATTTGAGTTAAAGTTTGAAAACAATATAGGGAGATGTTTTAAATCAAATTATATGTAAAAAGAAGCTAAAATCTCACTTTTTACCATCTTTGTTATTAAAGCTAGAAACAATTTGAACCTTTCTTTATAAAATAAATCTTATGCAGGTGTTTGAAGTCTTCAAACTGATATTGTTTTATTAAAATATCAAGATAAAGTGTTCGAACTTTGAAGTAGCTTTTTATATAGTCTTGTTAAAGCTTTAACTTTAAAATTATAAAACAGTTTGAGCGGCGGTGCATTTACGAGGTAAAGTTAGGTCATACTTTGACAGGAAATGATTAATGAGTACTTGTATTTTAATATTAGAACTTTACATGATATTAATTAAAAAACATGCATAGATTGAGGATAAGTAGGACATGGGGATCATAGTCGTGTGGATCATAGACATAGACAATTATAGCTGTTGCCCGCGACTTCGTTCGCGTGGTATTTGTAAACATACGAACTATATAAAAAACAAAAGCTACGTCTCCCTCGGGAACCGGACATTTCTCGGGGATGAACCTTAACCCATGTTTACTCCAGACTTTGTTTTATATCTGTGCCAAATTTCAATAAGATATGTTGAACAGTTGCAGAATGATCGAGTAAACATTAAAAAACTAAATTAATGAATCCCACGGGAACCGTAACTATTCCAGAGATAAAAAGTAGCCTATGTGTTCTTCCAGACTATGCTCTAAACCTATGCCAAATATCATGGAGATCCGTTCAGCCGTTTAGGCTACAAACGCTAACAAACATCCATCCATCTATCCATCCATCCATCTAAACTTTCGCATTTATAATATTAGTAAGAAGTAAGATATATCATAGGCCATATACCAAAAATATTTATTTAAAGTTTTGTACAGTTAAGTATTTCTATGTAGATTATATAATAAATTATGAAGTAGAAAAGTAACATGTTATACTAACTAGTGTTCACAATTTGATACCCAACACAATATAGTAAAGCGCTCACAAATACGCAAATCCCTCGCATTAATTACCACAGCAATAAACTAGAAGCGATCGCAATTACAATTGAAGCAATAAGTCCGCATTACGGCACCTCTGAGACATTTAGCATGCGGACCGCGGCTGCGGGGTCGATTGCATCCCACGCGGGCCGCAGACGGGGGTCGAATGTGCCCCCAAAGGGGGGTTGAGCCAGGATCCTTTCACGATTTATCTACGCACGGCTAACGGGTGGAGGGTTTTATTATTAAATTTTAATTTTACCTAAATAGTTACTGTGTGAAAGAATACAAAATTAAAACAGATTACTAAGTTTAAAATAGTATTCAATTGACAATGTTAGGCTTTTATTATTAAAGGGTTTAAGTTTTTAATTTTTTTTAATTTCCTTATTCATGTGCCATCCCTGGAACGTTTTGACATGCCCCTTAACGTTTACGTAAACATTTCTGTGACATGCAAAAAATGGCATTGTCAAGTAGAAAGCTGACCCAATTCCCCCTTTAAACTTTTTGACCAAAACATGTCGCGCATTCATCAGCGGTCGCGGTAATTATTCCACTTTTAAATTTTTTAAAAGGTTATACGAATGAACGGACCTTGGCCGCGGCGAGGGACGGATTAAGTTGTGCTTATACAACACCTGTAGTTAGGGGTGTTTTATGGCCCTTTCTAAAAATGTGAATTATAAAGGAACATATTCTATAGAAAAGTAAGGAGAGAAAATTTAATAAAGACCCAGTTACGTGTTATTATTTACATACTAAAAATGTGAATTAAAAGTTTCTTTTTTTACATTTATAGAAATAAGTGAAGTCAATATAAAGAAGAAAATAATTATTATTTTCTTATAACTTGATATTATAAATATATCAGGTGTCCAAACAAGATCCTCGAAGACTAAGTTAGCAAGTTTCAATAGATCTTAAAAGTTAGCTCGCTCTAGGCGGATCAGATTGATATTTACTTGGCACTTAAAGCTTCAGTTTACTTATAACATTACCTACAACTTAACGGTTATAAACTATTTTAATAAATTAACATTTATTGTAACAAGTGGCTATCTCAATTACCAAAATTACTTTTTATACAAGGTTTTTTTTTTAATGAAGTTGTTTCTTGTAACAGACAAAGCGCCGTCAGAGGCAACGTTCCGTGGCGCTGAGTTCCTCTCATACGACCTGACGCAGACTGGCGGCGAGCCCATCGTCAGCGCACAGGACGCCATCTCCTTATACTTTAAGACACGACAACCTAACGGACTGCTCTTCTATACAGGTACACAGACGATAAAAAAATGTCTCAAAGCCTTTTACGTTTTTGCCCATCTTTACTATTTCCTCACCAGGCCATGAAGCAGATTATCTTAATTTGGCGGTCCGAGATGGTGGACTTTCATTAACAATGGGCCTCGGTAATGGCAAGCAGGAGATGCACATCAAACCCGCGAAGACGAGGTTCGACGACCATCAATGGCACAAGCTAACTGTAAGAAGACGGATACAAGAGGTAACTACTCTATTACATTAATGTGATCGATTGTTTTATTATGTGCAACATTTAAAACTTATCCAGCTAATAAATTTGCTACGTCCTAAAGGCATTAGTAAAGAAGTGGCTTTTTGTAATTAAAATTTAAAATCTGGATTAACTAGTTAAATGTGTGTTTAAATTCTGACTGTCGCTACTTAATATTATGAACGTCGAAGTACATATTTCAGTATAAATAAGCACCGGTACATTGCTTTCGGCAAACAGATCTGCAGAAATTAAGCAAGAAACGAATATTAGAATAGTAACTTGTAACTTATAAGTTGTTCTTAACTTTATTTAACTGTTAATTTTCTATTTTTAATTTAAAACTATTATAAAGTCTTGTAAACTTTTGTTTTTAATTTTATTGGATCTTTGACGCAGAACTGAAATAAACGCTATTTTACTTTATCTCATTTTAAATTGCTTTCAATATAAGTTTATATTTGTTGGTTACGATCGCATTTCGCAAGCCAACGCAAAATGTTTCAATAACCGTGATTTCTTAAAATATGAACCGGAGCTAGAGACTTGGTATAAAAGGTTAGATGTACGTTGCATGAAACTAGAGAATGTATATTTCTTTCATGGTTACTGACCTGTCTTGTAACTTGTTTCTGACTTAAAGCTAAGTCAAAGTAAAGCCTTGACCTTTGCTTTTATTAAAAGTTAAGAATTTTTCGTAGCACGTTCTTTAGAAACGCTTACTTAGTACGATATGACTTTGAAGTCAAACATAAATCTTAAAACAGTCGAAAATACAAATATATAAACTGTCTCTTAATCTTATAGAATTTCATTATTTTAACTGTATTTTCCTATAAGAAGTACGGTGATAAATATTTCAAAATATTAAACTTTGTATGAACAATTGTAACTTAGTGTAATAAATAAATGATCGAAGCCTACAATTCCAGGCTAAGTGAACAGCGAGCGAACTCGTAATTTATTTACACTGCCTACGCCGCCGGTGTACATTATGTATGCAACTTAACTACTGGCTTGACGAACAGAATGGTTTTACTGTTATATGTATGTGTCTAACATATAAGTATAGCTAATTTCGGTATTGTTAAACAATTCGTAATGCTATACTGGAATAAATTTACTTTTACACACACGAAACTTTGTCTATACTAAAACTATATTTTTTTTGTTTTCCATTAATGTTATTGAAAAGATTTCTTAACTACCTTATTTTTTTATAAGTATGTAGCACCATTAATTCTTATTTTAAAATTTAAAAAATAAAACGTTATTTTCACATTTTAAAAGGTTATACTCCCAAGTTACCGGATTAGTATTTGCTTTGCATTTCGATACGAAATTGATCCGCCTACGATTTTATTCAATACGTACTGTGGATCGAAATAAATTTGAATTGCAGATGATTTAATCACGGAACAACAATGTATTGGCATTTAGAATGAATGAAAGAATCTACGTTTAAAGCTGCAAAAATTGAATCAACACAAACGTTTTCATTTAAGTAATTCGTACCAAAATGTAATAAAACATTTTCAACGCTTTAGTTAGACATTTGAAGTAAACTTAGGTATTTGAGATAATTTAAAAAATTTCATTAATATGTAAAATTTTTATTTTCAGATTACGCCGTTTACAAGCTTTTGTCGGGTGAGTTAATATTTATTTCTATAAGGTGTATATTCACGTTACAACTAGTATACCAGACGGCTCACCACGAATATTTTCGACATAATTACGAGAACATATTCGTAACGTCATTGACAAAAGTGTGGGATTTGTTGGTATGCTTTACACCCAGTAGGGGCACTACAGAAATCTATATAAATTTTGTCGATGACGTTACGAAAATGTTACGTAAATATTCATGATAAGCTCTTATGTTTTACTATAACGCTACATAAAACAAAAACACTTAGAATGGTTATCCTTTCTCGGAAAAACTTATTTCATAAGCGAAGAGCACGTTCCATGAAATTTGTTTCTATAGGATATTACTCGTAAAATATATCGGAAAAATGTTGTCCAAGGCTACTTCGGTAAGTCGCGCACAGATGTTAGCAAGTGGCCTTAAGTCGGTAATATATCGCCTCGATACAGAATAGTCCCCTTGTTTGAGACACTTATAAGTTATCGTTTAGGTTCAAGTTAGATTTCTTTGTAAGAAAATATACTCTTTTATGATGTATCAATACTTTGGTAGAAATTGCTTCGCAAATAATGTAAGTTTACTTATGATTTTAGTAGTTATGAAATAACTGAGTTACTAGAGTATCGTTTTATCAAAAGTTGTAATTTAATTTTAAGTAATGCACATATAGTTGTTAAATCGTTACTTTATATCTTCTAGCAAAGATTTATTCATAGAATTTAATCAAGTTAATAATTATTACAACTATATTTTGATATTTGTTTTGTTTATTTACTAGTATTTGTGATATTTTTTTACTAAGATTGTCTTAGGATATTTTCAGTACAATAGAAAATTGGCGGGATTCGAACCCTCGACCATGCGATCTCAAATTCTATTGACATTAATTAAAAAAGCAAATTAACTTTGTCTCCTCTAAGTTATTGATTAGCAAAATGCTTTCTTTTAATTTCAATTGGTAAGTAAAACCGCGGGACAAATCTTGTTGTTAATATCTTTCATGTCGTGTCTCGATAAAGCTGTAAAATGTAGGACAACCGTAAAACTCGTACATTTGCGGATAATGCGCGATGTTATTAAACCATCCCCTTATAAGGTTGCCAGCAAAAATGAGATTATATTTCCCACAAAAGCAATTACTGTACTGTTCTTTCACAAAACATATTATGTTTTATGTATATTGACGTTGTTTAGCTTTGATAAGGTTTCTAAAAAGAATATGAACATTGCGATAAATCATATTTTTTCTGCATTATGTGATCACGGTAAAAAAGTTCGCACGTAAACAGAAAAACAATACGGTATGCATCTATAACTACATCATTTACTAAAATTTTAAAATAGTTTAGTAACAAAAGGATAGAAAAAATAAACATAGAAGGCTGGTGACGACAATACTAAAACAAAAATATTGTACACTCAAGTTAATCTAGAATTTTATGTATAAGCCTTTATGTAAATTGAATTGTATGTATAAATGGTAATTTCAGGTGTCAGCAGTAGTAGACGACGTGTACTCGGAACATTCCCACGTCGCCGGCTCCTTCACAATGCTGGCCAGCTCCAGAGCTCATGTGGGAGGATCACTTAACGCCAGAGCATTGCCCGGTGCTAGAGTTCATACCAACTTCATCGGCTGTTTGAAGAAAGTAAGCTCTATGCCTTTATTGATAGGAATCAAAATTGCTTGTAATAGTTTTTTATATCGACTTACTATTTTGTACTACGAGCGGACACACCTTTGACTAAACTATCGCACAACTATTGTCGATAATCGATTGTTTCGTAGCCCATTTAATTGTTTAGTTGCACAACTAAAAGTCGAGTAGTGTACCTCCATATAAACTCGTAGTAATCTAAACGCGACTAAACAGTTCTGCGATAATTTAAACAGAGCTGTGTCCGCGCCCTGGAATAGTTTGTACAATGGTTAACATCAGCGTATTATCTAGTCAATAGTTAAAAATTCCAAATAGCTTTTCAAATGAACAAAAGACGACCAAAAGAGATGAATACCGATGACGTCAACTATCAAAATTTTAATTTCTCTCAGGTGGAGTTCTCGGCTGATACTCTAAGGTTGAACCTGATAGACTTGGCGCGCACCGGCAGCAAGCTGATAGCGGTCACTGGCCGGCTGGAGTACGCCTGTACTGCTACAGACTCTGCCGACCCGGTTACGTTTAGCACGAGGGATGCACATTTGGTATGCGATTAATGCAATTTTCGTTAGTGATAAGGTTCAACAGTCAAGGTCACCACATCTGCAGTTCCTTTATTCCGACTGTCCAAGACAGTGGATGAACACCTTGGTATTGCTGCTCATGACATGCCCTCTACTCTTTGTAACGTGAGACGTTTATGACTGTGTTTATAGACGGATTGCCTATCCCAACTTGAAATAAGATTAGATAGATTTAGAAACATGTCATAATCATTTAAACTTTCTTCGATACTTCAAATGTGACTTCATCAGTATGAAATTATTAAAACTGTAGTTTATTAAATCTCCATTGCAAATGTCAAAATTACAGTTACCATAATAACCTTGCTTCCTAAATGTTGGCAGCTTCTAGTTTATGATCCCTTTCCCACATGAAGGTTTTTTCAAATTTATTTAAGTTTAATAGCATAAAAATATACAACCAAAAGCATGTCTAAAGTGTAGAGTTTTTTTTAAATAAAGAGTTATTCAAAAATATGCTGTGATTGCTGACATCCTACGTCACGAAGTAGTGTGTGTTTACGCTTTATTATTTTAGTTATGTCAATGTCAAAACTAGGTATATCAGTGAGAGCAGAGGTGAAAATATTCCAATATTTCTTAGTACATTCGAGTTACTGTACGCTTCGGGCCCTACAGTTTGATCAAATAACCGGAGTGGCTCTGGCGTGATTAGATCCGACGACCGTTATTGGATTTGTGTCCGACAATCGACTGTTCGGAGAACTCGAGTACGTTCTGACGACGAATTGATGGTTTTTATTCCTGCACCTAAATCAATTTAGATAGACTCCGACATGACTGAGTGGATAGAAGTAAAAAAAAAAACATTTATTAAAATGTATAAAGTACTATACCAAAGTTGTTGTATTATGGTTAAGGTCATTTCGTGTTTCAAGATAATGAAATTTTGTTATAAAAATTGGTTGACGGATAATTTAAAATACAATTTTTATCGAAATGAATATTCACCACAAATGTTAGGATTCTCCACAAACAAATTGGTAAATTTGTTTCAAAGTGTCGTAACCTCTTTGCCCTGGTTGAAAGTATAATGCCAATTTGTGACATCGCAATTTGCTTCGAATTGGTCCAATAAGTCCCTTTGACGGCTCATAAATCATTCTCTAGCCCCAAATTTTCTAGTATCAGAGTGTTACTATAATGACTGTAATCACTGCTAAGGCATTTACCTCAAGGGTAAGGAAATCTGATTTAATATGTGATAAAATGTAGGAACAAAGATATTTGGTTTCCCTTTTTTTCTTCGACTTTATTTTATTTACGGTTAAGTTTTATTTGCAACAATAAGTACATACATTTACTTTCATTTGTTCATTTACAAAGGAACGTTTATTCTTGCTTGATATTTTCAAGGCTTGAAAATATTGCTTTAAAATAGCATGTACTTAAAAAAGAATTTTGTTCAAACTGCAATGGAATGTTGCAGCAGTTTAATAACAATTTCACCTTCAACTGTATGACTTCAACATTCCGCTGGTAATATTTTTATCGTTCCATTGATCTTGAAACTAATAACGTTCCGAAGGACTCGTACGAACCGACAAGGTCGCTCCGACTTATAATTGCCTTAATGATTTTAATTCTCCGTACTCCGACATAACTTTCACTGTATTCGAATCTAATTGCTTTCACCTGGCGGTCGTTATTGTTAAATATTAATGGATTTATTTCGATTATTTCCATTTTATATGAAGTATAAATTCGAATAAGAGACCATAGCCTAATCATATTTTAAATAATACTATGAATAGATTTATACTAGCTGTCCCCGTGCGGCTTCATCTGCATGATATTATGAAAATTTTATTTTATTGTTTACATTTGTCAAATTATCAATTACAAATGTCAAAATGACATGACATGACAAACCTTGGCAATCTTGCTTCCTTGATGTTGGCAGCAACATATGGTCTCATTCCCACATTAGGATTTTTATCTAAAATATTTACTCCTAAGTTTAACGGCGTGAAAACATATAGCCTAAAGCGTGACGTCAGTGTATAGCTTTTTATTAATAAAGAATTATTCTAAAATATGCTGTAATTGCTGACATCTTAGGCAACAAAGTGTGTGTTTACGCTTTATTATAATAGTATGGAAATATAGATTAAACGAAATGTATATTAAAATGAATATTGGAACTTGAGACTCTATGTAATATTTTGATGATTACAGATCTTACCAAAATGGGAGGCGGTGAAGACCGGAACGATATCATTCAAGTTCCGAACAAACGAACCGAACGGTTTGATACTGTTCAACATGGGCGCGAAGCCACCAAGGGTAGGTTGCACGGTAAGGGGTGAAGCTTTTGGGGTTGAATCGAAACCATTAAAGAGGCCATTAACATTACGTTGTCAAATCTGTTATCACAGATATCATATCAGTCGATAATATTTACATGTACAGGAGATTGCATTAACACGGTTAAGGAGTCTTAGAGCGAGCGCGCATATTTGACTAAACTATCGCACAACCGTTTAGTCGCTTTGATTCTTGAGCTTATATGGAGGTATACTACTCGACTTTTAGTTGTGCAACTAAACAGTTGAATGGGCTGCGAAACAATCGACAATCGCACAACAGTTGTGAAATAGTTGCAAATGCGTGCGCCTGCTCTTAAAATACTTTGACCTTTAGTGTTTGGGTAAAAGTTAAAAAAAAAACTATGAGTTTAATTATGTAAAAACTAATGGTTATTGTTTTTAAAATGATAAAAGATTCCTTAATCTTATTAAAATAAAGCAAACTCCTGTCTGTCATAAAACTGTGGACAATTTGATGCAATTGACAAATACTATAGAATTATTTGATGGAAACTTGAAAATGTTATCCACAGTTATGCATGGTAGGTAAAAGGGACAATCATTCGAGAAACTCTTGATTCACAGTTGTAGGGGAATTTGTGTATGGTACCTTCTAAAGTTTCACCCACTTTGAAGCGTCAAGTGTTTTGTGTTTTTTTGATGTGCACAGTAGACCCTCGCACACGACTTCTTGATCCCAGCACAGCAAACAGGAAAGCAGACGGAGTTTTGATGGAATTTTACCAAACCAAGCTTTTTAGAAGGCTTTATTATTACCTACACAAATTCACATCACGGATATTAGATTATAATTTAAGATAATTTTTCATATAGATTGTAAATTTATATATTTTAAACATTACCTGTCAGCTTTTGATAGTTATAGAAGTATGTTAGATAATTTTATGCAATATGGAAACAGTTTGCATGAATTGCTTTGACTAAAATACAATAATTTCATGGCAGCAATACAGCTTGGTTGGTGTTTGTTGTAACTAAATAATCCGTTGGTTAAATAAAATTTTAACTATTAGACTATTAACAGAGTAAATAATTAAATAAAGATAATTCTTCTCTTTTAGTTTGTTAATTGCTTTTAGATTAAAACATGTTAGAAATTATAGAAAAGCACATTTTATGCAAATAATAGTTTATCACTAACTAAGTCAATATTTATTGAACGTACTTAGTTATAAAAGTAATCTTACTTCTTACTAATATTATAAATGCAAATGTTTAGATGGATGGATGGATGTTTGTTAGAGTTTGTAGCCTAAACGGCTAAACGGATCTTGATGAAATTTGGTAGAGGATAGTCTGGAAGAACACATAGCTACTCATTTTTGTTTTTTAATTCCACGCGAACGGAGTCGCGGCCGAAAGCTAGTTTTCAATATACCTTTCCTTTTGTTTAGATGTCATTTGTTTTTGTCTTTTGTGAACATGTTTATGCACTTTGTACTCAATATTAATTCAATCATTTTGAGTAATGTTTGTCAAATCAGTAGACAAATTAAAGTCACTTGTTATCTATACTTCGAAGAAACTCATATCTTCGCCTTAAAAGTTATATACTAGACATATTTTTTAATGTTATTCACAGGCTGATCTCTTCGCTGTGGAAATGTTAAACGGGTATATCTACGTGCACGTGGACTTGGGGTCGGGTGGTGTGCGCGTGCGTGCCTCTCGGCGTCGCGTCGATGACTCCCACTGGCATGAGTTTCTGCTCAGAAGGACCGGCAGAGATGGAAGAGTGACTGTTGATGGCGCTAATGCTGAGTTTAAGACGCCCGGTATGTTACATCAAAGACATTTCAATATGTAGACTAGGCGTAGGCAATAAAATTCTTTCACTTTTACTCTCTAGTCTATTCATTAAAAAATGTATAGACTTCATATATACCGACAGAGATGGAAGAGTGTTAATGCCGCTAATGCTGATTTTAAACGCCTGGTATGTTTTTATCAGACATTTAAATATAGACTAGGCATAGTCAAAAAAAATATTCTTTTACTGTCTAGTCTATACATTTTTAATGTGTAGACATAGTTAACAACATTTTTTTACCGGCACTTTCTATGAAATATGCTATGTTGTCAAGTTTAGTGCCACCTTGTGTCCGTATCGGCATGTAATAAAACATGTTACACTATTATAAGCTCCTTTTTTTTAAATAAACTAAACAGTAAAAATAAAATAAAAACGTTGGAATATTATTTAACGACATATTGGAAATTAACTATATTGACGTGGTTTTAAGGATCTATCACTTAAGATTTAGTGAAATTATGTGAAAAATGTTGTAAGTGAAGTGTGAACACAGAGTCTATATTTTTTTTAATCTCTTTGGATCACGTCGTATTCAACTAAGAGATTTCCACAGATGTAGTCATCCTACAGGTAGAACTACTTTTTTAGATTGTAAATAAATTTTATCAATCTGTAAGATACAATACTATTTCTAATGTATGCTACTTCCAGGTGAATCAAATCAGCTGGAACTGGATGGGCCGTTGTTTGTCGGAGGCTTGGGGTCTGAGTACTCCGCGTCTAGGACCCCGCCCGCATTATGGACGGCCGCGCTGCGACAAGGGTTCGTTGGCTGCATCCGAGATCTGGTGCTGAACGGGAAGCCTCAGGATCTGACGTCTTATGCTAGACAACAGGATTCCGGTCAGCAAATTAAATAACATGCCATTTATTTGATTCTATGCCTATGCAATCTATAGTACTTATTCTTTTGGAGTAATTTATGTTCTAGTCTAAATGAAAATATAGGGGAGGGTAGCTGATCAACTTTCATATAAGCAAACTAGTCTACAGCCTATCTTTAAGTTTACTTGCCTCTTTATGTAACAATTAGCTCTCGCACGCGACTCTGTCTGCGTATAATTAAAAAACAACTGAGTAGCCTATGTGTTCTTCCAGATTATCCTCTAAATCTGTACTAAATTTGATTGAAATCTGTTCAGCCGTTTAAGCTACAAACTCGAACAAACATCCATATAAACATTTGCATTTATAATATTAGTATTAGTATTCTATTAAAATAAAATGTGAATTAAGTTAAGTTAGTGTCAACATTTTTCTATAAATAAATGACTGCTCAGTATTAAAATCACAACTGTTTATAATCACTATGATTTAATGTTTTTTTATTTCTATGTATAGTATTGTTATAATGAAATATTTATTGTCCAGCGTCGGTACGTCCGGCGTGCCACGTGCTGATGAAGCAGTGCGCCAGCGCCCCCTGCCAGCACGGCGGCGTGTGCTC